GGGTTGTCTGATTGCTGCCTTTTTCTCTGTATTATTGTAGGGTCTCTGACTTGCAATATAAAGAGCCTTGAAGCAATTGAATATGGCATTTGGTATTGCAGCAGAAATCAGGCAATGTTTTTCCAATCTTCTATTTTCCATTTTTACTTTCACTTTTTAAACCAGTGGCAACCAGTCGTTTTCACTCAGAAAACTGCTGCTCACTAAATATTTTCTTTGAGATCTTTCTCTGTAAAACCTAGAAAAACTAATGAAGTACTCTGACCAGCTCATCTGGCCATGGTCAAAGTACTGAAATAATTTTTCTTCATTATTTTTAGAACTTCAGCAGACCTTACTGGCCTGTCTGCTGGGCCTAAATGTTGCTGCCATTTAATTAGATATTTGTGTTTTAAGAAGCTGGTGGGTTGTTGTCATCTGTGTTAATCTTGTTCTGCCATTGACTGCTCGAGGGTTTCATTAAAATCTGAAGATATCCTTCTTTTAGCGTGATTCCGCCTACTTTGGCAAGAGTTCCAGTTTCAGATGGGTTGTATGCCTCTTCTTTCTTCAAATATAAGCGGCGTCTCTGTGAGCAATGAGCTGTAGTTTTGTCTCATCTGACCAAAGGATGCGCTTCCAGTCCAATTTTTTTTAAAGGGCCAAAGAAGCCTTTAGAGAGCACGATTTCAGCCACAACAAAAATGAAGTGTGTATTTGTGTGGAACACTAAATGGAAAGTGCAGATATTACCTAAACATTTTCTCTTCAGGGGTTTCACCAACTACAGAGACAGTAAACTGACCCGCATCCTGCAGAACTCGTTGGGTGGGAATGCTAAAACTGTCATTATCTGCACCATCACCCCAGTCACTCTGGATGAGACCCTCAGCACTCTACAGGTAGGGAGAACATGACTGACTCTTATGTAATCCATTTCAAAAAATGCTTTCAGACGAGAAATTGTGTAGTACAAACTTTGTCTTACACAGATGATAAAGTTTGTGTGAAATAAAAGTTAGCTGAAGCTTTGACGTGTGAACCACTGAGAACATAAACTGCTAAACACTTTAACCCACCCGCTGTGACTTCTTTGAAATAGTTTGCAAGCACAGCAAAGAAAATGAAGAACGACCCTCACGTAACAGAGGTGTCAGATGATGGGGCTCTGCTCAAAAGGTATCGCAATGAAATTGCAGAACTCAAGCGACGACTTCACGAGGCAAGTGTCTCCACTTTTCCTCTTCTTCCTCCAGCAGCACTGATCTGCACACACTGACCCATGCACAATCTCCTTCAGGTTTCTTCAGTCACGCAGACCACTGTGACAGAGAAGGAGGTTCTCTCCCAGCTGCTCCAAGAGAAGGATCAGCTGCAGAGAGAAAAAGAGGGCCTGAAGAGAAATCTGGCCAATCTCCTTGTGACAAGCTCAAATCTGGTCCCAGTCCAGAAGGTAACTGTGCTGAACCATGAGCTGCAGTTCTCTGTATGTTCGCTTTAATCACAACATGTGTTCTTTACCAAGATGCCAAGCCGCAGGGTTACCTGGGGAGGAAAGATGGTAAAACTTGGCCATCCATCTGGCTGTGTGGGGAGTTTCTCTGATCTCAGCTTTGCAGAATCTTTCACTCAGAAGAGAACTCTGTCAGACTTCTCCTGCCTGATGGAGCTGGGTGAAGGTAACGAGGAGCACCAAGGATGAATATTCATGCCACGATGGAATTTTGCTGGGGCGTTATTTTTATTTATTTTTTTTTTTTTTCGTATTCGTGCTCTATTTTAACAGATGATGAGGACTTTGAGTCCAACTGGGGAATTCCAGAGGAGCCGTCAGATGAAATGGAAATGAGTCGAAGCTCTGTGACTGTTCGTAGCTTTGGAGACAGGTACGTGTCTGAGCAGTTCTGTCACCAATGAAGCCTCGTATTCTCAAACTTAAAAGCCGTATCAGACACCAATCATTTATTTGTATTTATTATCAAATGTGCCTGTGGGTTACCCTCAGTCATCCAGAAGTCACTTTACCCACTTGAAATGAGGAAAAATGCTCCCTTGGTCTGTACTGCTGCATTGTATCGTGACGGGTTAGGGGCCTTCTACGGCCTGTCTTCTTGAGATTGTGCTGGGAGACACAGCAGCTGTTCAGGCAGTGACATGTATTGATGTGCCAACCTGGAGGAGTCAGACTACCTGTGAAACCTCTGTGGGGTCCATGTATTCCCCTGTGCTACTGACTGTTGCCAAATGAAAAAGTAGTGAAGGAATGTTGTTGTTGAGTCAAATGTGTTGCCTGTGAACAATCAGTATTAAAAAGTCCACTTATGAGTGGTGCTGGTATTCCTGTTGTGTCCTTTAGAAGGAAAAGAAAGAAATTTGGATACAGCAGAGGTTTTTTGTGCTCACTAGCTGAACTTCGTCGTGTGAGTGTTCGTTGCTTCTTTCACCGGACTTCTTTTGAACTGTTAGTCTCTCGGTTGCTTAATGGGCAATCTTCTGAATTGTTAAAGGGCTTCGACAAGTCAGTAAACAGTTTCCATGGAAGCAACAATGGCTCTTGACTCTTTTTGCTGCCGTTTTCTTAAGCAGCAGCAAATTTACTTCTCAGAATCACTGTAGAGAGGGTGAGGTGCAGAGGGGTGTAAGTGGACTGATTCTTATTTAGCACTTTTAACTCTCCGTCTTATACAACATGCCACGTTCACCCAATGCTTTTAAGTGCTAACATTCCCACATATTCATACTCTGATGGATGCATCGGGGAGCCAGGGATGGAACCACCAACCTTTCCAGTCAGTAGATGACCTGCTCTACCTCCTGAGAGTTTAGCAGGTCTCTGGGTCTGAGTTTGACTGTTGAAAAATTGGCGTATCCATTTCTTATTGTCAGTTAGAGGTTTATGATGTCTGTGGTCTTCACTGGAATGTGTTTGAGCTCACGTGGTCCATGAAGAAGGACACTGTAAAGTCCAGTCTACCAACTGCATGACAGATCTGTGTCACCCCAGCCCCAAACATTTGTGTTGTTCATCATGTAAAATAGATGGCAACACTTTTTTTTTTTTTTTCACCTACTTCTAAAGGTGCACGGAGAAGAGAAAGATCTGATGATGTGAAGACTCCTTCACATCATTCTCCGTTCCGCATGTCTTAAAGTAACACATACTCAAAATTACACACAAAATGCAAATAAGCTAATATAAAGTAAGTACAGGAACATTAAAAGGGGGAGGTCCACCTGGACCCTGATTAAGGCCACAAGCCGGAACGTGCCGGTTACTTAATAAAGCTGTTCCCTAATACTTCAAGTGCCACTCGAGTCGTCGCATCATGTGCCATCACTGTGTGCTGGTGTGTAACATAAACATGTCCCGGTTGCTTTTTTTACAGTCCCAGAGACTTCATGTCTCCTGATCGGCTGCAAGAACTTTCAGGCAAAGTGTCCAGTCTGGAGATGCAGCTGGAACAGGAGAGTCAGGAGAAAGAGACGGCCCTGTCAAGTTTAGATGTGTTAAAGGGCAGAGTGGCAGAGCTGCAGCTGGAGCTGGAAACAGAGATGCAGCATAGACAGGAAGCACTGGAAAAAGTGCAGACTGGAGAACAGAGGAGAGCAGAGCTGGAAGCGCTGCTGCACACTGAAGCTCAGCAGAGGCTGGAGGCCACACAGAAGGCTGACACGTTGGAGCTGAGAGTGACAGACTTGGAGAAACAACTGGGAGAACACAGTGACGCAGACACTGAGACAAATGAACAGGTATGCTGTGTTTGACTCGGGCTCTGTCTGCCAAGCGTCACGTTATCATCACTCGTCTTAATCTTCTGTTTTTCAGATGAGAAAAGAGTTTGCTGAGACCATCCAGCTTTGTGAAACTTTGGCGTCAGAGAAGGTAAGTGTAAGGTGAAGAAGTTAGAGCACTTACAGCAAATATCCTACTGCTTTCTGTAAAGGGGCAGACGGATTTTCAAACAAAGCTCATGCTGCACACTGCTCTAAACTCACTCTCAGCTTTCTTAACACTCGAGTGTTGAAAGCCCTCAGTGCAGTCGTCTGACGTGGAAACGACGGCGGCGTTAAACTGGATGATATTGTTGCAGGACTTGGTGGCTGCAGAGCGAGACTACCTGAAACAGGAGCTGGGCATGTTTATAGAGCAAATGGAGCGTCTGGAAAAAGAGAAGGCTGCTGTATTACAGGAGCTAGAGGAGAAGAGGGAGATGGACGAGTTTAAATCTCTAGAAGAGGGGTGCAGGAAGGAGAACGAGGTAACGAGGAGAACTTTCTCAGATCCACTGACAACAAAGTTTCACAGAGCTGTTTATCAAATATGTTTTCATCTCACTATGTTCACTTTGCTTCTGGAAACTTGCAGAAAGAGTTAGAAAATGAAATTGTAAGCTTGAAGAAAGCTGTTGAGTCCTCTGAACTCCAGCGCATGCAGCTCCAGGTAAGATGAGTGGACGTGTAGATTTTATTGATCCGAAACACTTTGATTTGATTTGTCTTTAAGCTTTTGTTTCTTCTTTTGAAAGAATGAAATCAAGACTCTGACTGAACAGCTGAAGAAGAAGGAAACAGAATTTGCACATGAGATGGAGAACCTGGTACGGCCAGTATTTCTGTCACGTGACGTGGAACATCATGTAGATGTGACACCGTGCAGAGTGTGCATCTGTCACATGTTAGAAACCAATAGCACCTCATGCTCCAAGCATCCGTCTGTCTGGAGCAGTAGATGGGCCAACACTGCAGTGTTACAGATGTGTGTGTTTGTGCTTAATATCAGTTTATGTCATTAACCTGGAATAAACCAGGCTGTTCTCACGCAAAGTGTGCTTGCTAACACTTGCTTACAGTCTTAGCAGGCTAACATGTCCCATCTGAGCGCTGACAGGGTGCTGAAAGCAGCAGCAATCTAACGACAGGCACAAGCTAACTGTTTCGTGTTTTCTTGTTTCAGGGCAGTAAGGACTTGGTGCAGGAGGTGGTGAAGCTTCGCCGCTCTCTGGATGATGCAGAGCTGCTGAGCAGAGACACAAGGAAGGAGTGGGCTGTCCTACGCAGTCGCAGCATCTCTTTGGAGGAGACGAATGTACGTAATCAAACACTAAAATGACAAAAAAAAATTTTTGCAGCACATCTATCCTCATTTGAAAAATATTCCAGGAAGTGTGAGCCAACAATGGCAGCTGTAAGCGATTAATGCATCTCCTGCTTCTTGACGATCTCGTCCAGGTGACTCTGACTGCCAGCCACGAGAAAATGGAGGCGGAGGTGAAGAGTCTGCGTCTTCAGCTGGAGACGGAGAAGTCACGTTACAGAAAGATGCAGAGCGATCTCCAGAAGGAGCTGAATGTCGCATTTGATGAGAACACCAAGCTCACCACTCTGCTAGACGGCAATGTGCCTAAAAGTAGGTTTCCACGTGTTGCGTTTATAGACTGTAGCCCATCATACGAACCTGCCCCTCGTAACATCTGCTCCTTCTCCAGATCTGATTGACAGCATAGAGCTTGAGAGAACCGTGGCCAATCTAAATAAAGAGTTGATGGCATCTCGTCAAGTGGAGACGGCCTTGAGAGCTCAGCTAGATGAGCTGGCTGCATGTCAGACTCTCCCAGATAAAGTGGACGCCTTGGTAAAGCAGGTGAGGCCCAAATATCCTCTAAAGCCAATCTGACATCCAGTTGGGGGGGCGGGGGGAGCATGAGAACGTTTGCAGAGGATCATAACTAGCACCAGAGGTTAATCAAATAGAAAGTGAAGCAGCTTCTAGGCTCTTCATTTGCTGCAGCTGCTGAGACAAATGTGAGGACAGGTACTTGTTCGGTGTAGTTGGTGGAAACATTGGGAAGTACAGGCATGCTATAATATATATGATACAATAATGAGTCAAAGGGAAAGCCTTTCAGTGAGGCTGAGGGAAGTGTCGGCTTAGTCATCCAAGATAAAAATCTCTGGATCGGGTTTAAAATGATACCAAGTATAATAGTCCTCCAGAGTGTGTGCAGTTATGTCTGAAGAGACAAAACATTTATACGTACAGCTTTCCAAACAACTGTTGTCATGTTTTCCTTCAGCTTGAAGGAAGTGAGCAGGAGCGAGGAGCTCTGGAAGGAAAACTGAGCGAGGTGCAGCAGCTGATCAAGGATTTGGAGGAGAAGCTTGCTGACAGCGAAGCTTCCAGAAGCACTGAGGAGGAGATTAGCAGAGAGCTTCAAGAACAAGTATGACACTGATAGCTGCTCTTATTACAGCTGAGCACATGTGCAACCATTAGCCCATCAACAGAAAAAGAGTTAAAATCATTCTTAATACAGTTTAGCTGATATCATTCAACTGCACATGTGAGTGTCTTGAAGACTGTGATTCGTATAGCTATGACAAAAACAGAATTGTGTGTATTTATTTAGATCAGCCAGTTAAATGAAGAACTTCGGTGTGTGCGAGCTGAGAAAGCCGAGCTCCTGTCCGAGCAGAGCACTGCTGATC